AATTGGTAATCACATGAAATTAGTTAATATAATAATTTTGTATGTTAATTATAAAATGATGTTAATTACACCATATCCTATTTTAATTTCTATATTTGATAAAAAAAAATCGAATTTGGTGAAAAAAATGGTAAACTGGTGGTAGGGTGGGAGTTGCAAATTTCTTCACCAAAAAAATTGGTGAAAATATATGATTTAGTAATATGGTGATATGTTGTTTGACCATAATGGGAGACTAAAACCAAATCATCATAATTTTAGGTGTAATGTCGATTTAGTGATTTAAGTTGGAAGGTTAAAAACACCTAAACTAGGTAAAAAAAATGAGATATGGAAATGGGTGGAAGATGCCCTAATTCTCATTAAATTTTCATCTAAAATAGCCCTTTTTTTTCCGAAGCAACTTCATTTCACGCGCAGTCGTGGTGAATAACCTATACTAAAGAAAATGCAAATTTAGACCGGATTGTCTGTTTTAATAGGAAAATCGGATGTCATAGAATGATTGACACGTGGATAGTTTAAATAAAAATATAATTAGAATTCTAATAATTGGAAAAAAAAAAAAAAAAAAAAGGAAAAAAAAAAACTCCAGAACCCATAACCCTCTAACCCTAATTATAATTAGTTTGATTTATTAAGAGTTAAGACTTAAAAGTACCACATGTCAAAAAATTAATGGAATCCGATATATATAAAATATTGGCTGATCCGCTCGGAATTTAATCTCTAAATAAAAACAACGTCTAATTTTGTAGCACTCTTGCAATCTTATTATTTTTCCCATTGCATTTCCATCTAATAAAATAATCGGAGTTTTTTTTCACCACAACTTAATTTCACTTGCAGTCGATTGGCACCGACGGCACACATTGCGTGGCGCTCCAACGACTAGTATGTATATATATATATATATATATATATATATATATATATATATATATATATATATATATATATATATATATATATATATATATATATGTATGTGTGTATATATGTGTGTGAGTGTGTGAGTGTATGTATATGAGAGTGAGAGTGAGTGGGGGAGAGAGAGAGAGAGAGAGAGAGAGAGAGAGAGTGAGAGAGAGAGAGAGAGAGAGAGAGAGAGAGAGATT